ATTTTATCTTCTAAATCATATTTGGTTATTTAGATAATATGATTTATATAATGGTCACATATATGTACGTAAAAATTTTTAAAAAAAACTAAATAAATGAGAACTATCGATATCAAAGTCATTGGTAATCACTTCATATATTTAAGCATTATAAATACTAAATCACAAATTAATCTATTCTATTTTAAATCAAATATTACTTTGTAACTACAAAGAATTAGTTGTACTAAACTACTAAATAAATAAAATTATTAAATTTAATAAGTTGTAAAACAAAAAATCGCGCGAATTCGCAGGTCATATCCTAGTTTTTTAATATAGGTGAAAATCTGAAATCACCAAATTTCCTTTTTCTTTCCCTTTTCTATTTCCCTAGGAAATGGACACGTATTCATAATTCCTAATTACTCTGGTACTTTAAAAAAAAAAAAACAAATCACCGACTCTTAAAAAGTATAAATAGACCTATAGGCTCACACTTCGTTTCATCATCAAATTATCTTTCCAACAATTTTTTCCACAACGAACCAACAAACAATGTCGAACTCGAAAATATTGTTTTGAAGAGCTCCGATGGCCAAATCTTTGAGATCGAAGAAGCGGTGGCTCTCCAATCACAAACCATAGCTCACATGGTTGAAGACGATTGCGTCGAAAATGCAATCCCTATTTCCAACGTAACCGGAGAGATCCTAGCCAAAGTGATCGAGTATTGCAAGAAACACGTTGATGATCGTGGTTCGGAAGAAGAACTCAAGAATTGGGACGGAGAGTTTATGAAAAACATCGATCAATCGACGCTTTTCAATCTAATTCTAGCTGCTAATTACTTAAACATCAAAAGCCTTCTTGATCTCACTTGTCAAACGGTTGCTGATATGATCAAAGGTAAATCTCCTGATGAGATTCGCGCTACTTTCAACATCAAAAACGATTTTACACCCGAAGAAGAAGAAAAGATTCGTCAAGAAAATCAATGGGCTTTTGAATGATCGTATGTTTGTTAGATCATTGTGGATGACTTTGACTCTTTCGTTTCATATATTTTTATTTTAAAGCTTTCGTGATTATATCATCTATCATGGTGTAACCGTGCTTCTTTACTTTAGTGCAAAGGTAATTCCATAGTTTACACTCAACACAAAACCAATTAATTATTTCAATTAACGAACACCTAATTTTTTTTATATTATACATGATAAAGTATGAGGAGCTTTGTTGTTACAACAATTGGCATAAGTAAATCTTACTCGTATGAATATAATAAATATGGTAATAAAATCAACCACTAAAAGCAAAAAAAAAAAATCATCCACATTTTGACAAAATTAACCAAAAATATTTAAGATACGAGATTTTCTATTTATTGCCAAAAGTTACTAGAGTTTGGTTCAATGAATAAACATGTAAATTCTACGATAACAATAACATGTATTATTCATAAAGAGTTTCAATTGAGTTTTTTTTTTAGTTTATGTTCGGAAAGATAAAAACATTAAATAATTTTATTTTATTAGTCAACAATATTAAATTGTGTATCTCCTTCATGACACTTCTTGATGATGTATGGACTGCCAGGACGCACTTAGATGTTCTGAGAGGAATGAGGATGGGTCTAATATCCCTTATAATTTGTTTGTAAATATTATGAGATGGATAGTTTTTGGTATGGACGTTACAAGTCCCAAATAGGGTTCGAACTAAGAGGTATAAACATTATTTAGCTCGCATAGAAGACAAAAATCATATATCTATCCAAATTATGCCATTCTTATTTGAAATTTTAACCACGAAATAGAAAATCTTTATCATATTTTCTAGATCTATATATAGCTTCCACAATATGTTTAATCTTAACATAAAGTGCACTCGCATGTGTGCCTGATCGAACAATGTCTGAATTGGCACGACGGAAAACATTTCTTTTCGCAATCAGAATCTGTCTTGCATCCGCCAAACTGGTTAATATCACCTTTGTAAGCACAATTTGTTTCTTTACCACACTCGTATTTTGTCTCTAGCATCTTCACCTCTCTTGCATCTGTTATAGACACATCTGTATTGGAAAAACAAAACATATAAAAATAAGATATTGTTATTAATTAGACGCATTTGCAGTTAAAACAGACATCGCTGCCATATTTTTCCGAGGCTTATACATACAAAGTGCAATAACCAGAGTGAAGACCAAGAAAGTAACCCTGAGAGAAACTTTTGCCATATTTTTGAAGGTTTAGGAAAATACAAATGTGGATGAAAACAAATATTCAGACCAAGTCTAATTCATTTTCTAGAGTGTATTGTTTTTAGTATTTATATTGAAAAAAAAAGATTTTCTTCCAATTTTTTAACCAATAGTATTAAAAAGTATGTTAGTCAAAATCTGTTTGATATAAATAACATAAAATCCTTTCAAAATCTAAATGAAATTATTTAGCTTATATGGGGAGTTGGGGACAATTCAAAACCAAAACAAT